GTGCCTTAGCCGGTTGAGCTATAGGCGCCGAGCCACTTTGTGCAGATTTTGAGGGGCACATTCATTTTGCTAAGTGTGGTACATTTATAAACGTGAAACAGGAACTCTCTGAATAGTAACAGCTCAGAGAGATGACCACCGCAGTGTGTGGAAGCTGAGGAAAACCTGCAAAGGACTGCTTTTCTTTTTCATTTTTATTTTTATTTTATTTTTTTGAGACAGAGTCTCAAGCTGTCACCCTGGGTAGAGTACTGTGGCATCATAGCTCACAGCAACTTCCAACTCCTGGGCTTAAGCAGTTCTCTTGCCTCAGCCTCCCAAGTAGCTGGGACTACAGGCGCCCACCACAACACCCGGGTATTTTTTGGTTGTAGTTGTCATTGTTGTTTGGCAGGCCTGGGGCGGGTTTGAACCCGCCAGCTCTGGTGTATGTGGTACCCTAGCCACTGAGCTACAGGTGCCGAGCCTCTTTTTCTTTCTTCTGTTTTTTAAAGGTACTTCTTTATTTCATATTAAAAATTCTGTAGATCTTCATGAACATTTAAATTTTAGTTTAAAAAATGTCCGACGGCTCACAGCTATAATCCTAACATTCTGGGAGGCTGAGGCGGGTGGATTGCTTAAGCTCAGGAGTTCCAGACCAGCCTGAACAAGAGCAGGACCCTGTCTTTACTAAAAATAGAAAAACTGAGGCCAGAGCTTGAGTTTGCTGTGAGCTAGGATGATGCCATGACATTCAAAGTGCCAGAATAAGACTTTGTCTCAAAAAAAAAGTCTAATACCCTTTCTGGGAAAAGCCAAGGTTATAAATATGTATAGAAGCTGAGGAGTGCTTTAGGATGGAATTTTAAACCATAGAACAGTGAGATGTGAGGCAGGAAGAGATCTTATCCTCGAGTTTTCACACCTTGCTTAATCTAAACTCCTTCTGTAAAATCAGAGTTGCACCACCTACCTTCGGGTTAAAGAGGTGAGGCACATGCTGTGTCTAGGACATGGTGCTGTGATGTTGAGGGGTGTTACAGTCAAGGAAACTGAGGCCAGCAGTGGGGGCTCCCAGCATCACCCTGGAGCACGTACAAACTGCTGCTGCCCCTCAGCCCACCCTTGCACTCTGTAGGCACCGCTGTGGTGCTGCCATCATCCCAGGTGAGCGTGATAGGAGGCCTCTCCCACCACCAGCTCCTCTTGCTCACTCTGGAATCTTCCTCCCCCAAAGCAGACTCCTGTCTCCCGGCTTGAGGTTTTCTTGGCTTGACAGCATCACCCTTCTGGATTTGCACTCTGGCCTTGAAGGTTGTGAGTCAGCCTGGGGGACTTGGGCTGAGCCTCCCACTACTCAGCCCCCTGGGTTGACGTGGGGGGAGCCCTAAGAAGGCCAAGGCCTGGCACTTCCAGGAGAGCTGTCCAGGAACAGAGGAGCTTACTGTGAGGCAAGGAGGGGGTTCCCCAGCAGGGTGGCCTTGCAGATGCATGCCCCTGCGTCTAGCCTCCCTGGAGCCAGACGTGAGCCATGAGTGTGGGTCAGGAAGGGCTGAGGCCTCTGTGACCAGGCGATGTTTACACGACTGTCCAGCCACCCAGGAGCTGATTGGCCTCTCCCTCCCTTCAGCCTCTGTCCCCGGCCTCTGTGGGCCAGGTCATGTCCAGTCCCTGCCTCTGCCCTTGGGAGTGAGGTGGGCAAAGACCAGACAGCGTCAGTGCAGTGCCAGACAGTGCATCCTCAGCTCTTGCCGTCTGCCACCGGAGTGGGGAGAGGGCATTTGACCTGGAGGCAACTCAGCTAGTGAGGGGCAGTGTCAGCGTCCAGGGTGCCCCCTGCATTTTCCCTACTCTCTGTGCCTACAAGGAGAGTGAGAACATGGATTTAATTTTAAATACGTACAGCTCAGGGAGAGAAATATTGCCTTACGTAGAGGGTCACCAGTGTGAGCCAGACCTCTGGGTTGCCACTGGGCAGCAGGAAGACCCCAGAGTGCAGAACCGGGGGGGCAGCCTCCCTAGGGGAACCCTCGGTTCATTGTCACGGACATGGCAGGGGCAGAGTCCAGGTGCTTGGTTCCTAGCTGGGCACTACCTCTCCATGAGACCCTCCCCTTGTCCTGCAGGACCCAGAGCCCTGGGAGCCCGGGAGCCCTCAGGCCCGGGGGCTGCTGTGTTGCTCAGTAATGAAGTTTGGGGGGCCAGGGTAACCCTGTCATCAGCCCTCTCAACTTCTGGTACTGTGAGCTCAGGGCCAGGCATACGTATTTCAGGGCCCCATGGTCCCCACAGGAGGCTGATGTCTAGGCAGGTTTCTGGACTCCAGACCAGATCGGCCTGAGACCTGCTGTGGTCTTTGTGGTTTGCTTTGACTCATTGAACATCAGTCAGCAGCTTTGCTTTATTCACACTGACCACTCAGGTGGGCTGTCCTGTCCCAGCAGAAGGGCAGGGATACTCCAGAGTTTGTCCCACAAATGGCCCAGAAGATTGGGACTGCTCAGGCCCAAAAGGACAAGTCCTTAGATGCTGGCCCTGCCCTCAGAGTAGTCTGCACCCATGACATGCTGACCAGTACTGAGACAAATCAACCTCCTAATTATCAGGCCTCCTCCTGTGTATCAGGCCCTTGTACTCGGGACATGTGTGGAGGCTTTGGGACACTACTGGGTGTATGGTAGGTCCCCAGGGTGATTATCCATCGGCTCACATGCAACACCACAGCAATTTGGACAGATATGGTGTAATCAAGAGAACCCAGAAAATTCATGTCAGAGATAACCTCCTTTTTTTTTTTTCTTTTTGAGACAGAGTTGAGTGCTATGGAGTCACAGCTCAGGGCAACCTCATACTCTTGGGCTTAAGCAATTCTCTTGCCTCAGCATCCGAGTAGCTGGGACTACAGGCATCTACCACAACACCCAGCTGTTTTTCTTGTTGCTGTTGTTGTAGTTGTCATTGTTGTTTGGCAGGCCTGGGCTGGGTTCAAACCTGCCAGCCCCAGTGCATGTGACCAGCACCCTGGCCGCTGAGCTAAAGGCACCAGGCCAGAACTAACCTCCTTTTGTCCAGTAAACCATCTTGTATAAGAATCTAAAATTGTCTTCCCTGTATTTTTCACCTGCCTCCAAATCCATTATATTCTGCTGGACCAACGTTTTCCCCAACAAGGGCCAGAAATTAAGAAGTTCTTTTTCCTTTCCCATTTCACTTCTCAACTCCAAACCTGTGTTGGGGGAACCACACCTGGCAGGGGGCGTCTGTCTCCTGAGGGGGACCTCTGGGAGTCAAGGCTGTAAGGGTGGGCATGGCCTCAGGGGCGGGTGTGGAGCTGGCTCAGCGTAGCAAGAGAAGCTGGACCTAGAAGCAGCTTTGCTTGGGGAGCACTCACAGGCTGGTGGTCGTGAAGAACTCAGAGGTAGTGGCTAGTGGTCCAGGCCAGAGAGCAGAGCCGGCAGCAGCCAGCACCTGGGAATCAGGTGTGGTTTGGACTTTGGGGTTCGTGTTCATCCAAGCCTACTTTAGCAGAAAGCCATTGTATTTGCAGTCCCAGCAGCCTGTGGAAGTAGGCTGGGAACTAGGACACCTGGGGAGATCTGTGGGTACCAGGGAAGGGGAGCGGGTTCTGGTTGCCCAGGAAGCCCTCTGAGCCAGTGTGCTGAGCTTGCAGGTGGTGGGGTGACAGCATGGCCCATGGCCCTACCTTGTAGTTTGAGACCTGAGCACTGAACTGGCCTCCCCATCCTTGCTGGCAGGATGGTTTGAATCCCAGAAAATGACACACCTGTGACACATTTGTAAGGTAGCATTGTGACTACTGAATCAGCTCAGGACTTCTTCAGTCTCCTATGATATTCTAAATGACATCTGGTTTTTAGGATTGCACATTCCTGGCCGGTGGGACCTCAGGTTTGTAGACCCCCATGCCCAGCTAATCAGCACAGCACCTCAGAGCACCTAGTGAGTGCTTCTAAAATTCGGATAAGGGAATGAATGGGTAGCGGAGCCAGCAGGCCTCCCAGGAGGGGAGCTGTGCTCCTTAGCCAGCATCGTGGGATGCCTGAGCCTTTCGGCCGTTAAGCCCTGCCCTTGGGTGGGGTTTTACCCATCCATGGTACATGGACCAGGGTCTGCTCCAGAGACTTAAAGACACCTCCACCAGGTGACTTGAGGTTTGATTTTGATCACCACCTGCCCCACCTCCTCTGTCCCCTTTCCTAAAGACATTCGTTCACCATTGTCCTTTCTCTCCTCACTGGGGTACAGATCCTGGCCAGCGTCTTCCTCTACCTGTGTGCCATTGTTGTGGGCATCATGTCTTACTATATGGCTGACCGCAAGCACCGCAAGGCCTTCCTGGAGGCCCGCCAGTCGCTGGAGGTGAAGATGAACCTGGAGGAGCAGAGCCAGCAGCAGGTGAGGCGGGGCCTTGGGGTGTCTGGGAAGGCCTGGGGCCTGGAGCTCGGCTTCAGGGACTGTGGCTTGGAAGGAAAGGCCTGTCAGAAGGGAGCCGAGCCAGAGTAAGGCGCCCAAGACTCTGTCTGGGGCGTGTGAAGTTCATGTGCCAGGTTCAGGTGTTTGCTTCCATCTTGGCCTTGTGGGCTCCTCCCCGTTAGAGGGCTGCTTCTCACTCCTGAATCTCCTTCTCCTTGACCTAAACCTCCCCCAGCCCCTCACAACCTGTGTTTTTTTTTTTTTCATAATACAAAACATTTCCTTTTGTAGAAATGTATTGCCCAAGCCACCAGCTATGACTCCCTGCCTTTCTTTCTCAGGTGGCCCAGGGTCAGGGCAGGGGCATCCATGGACACCTTCCTTTCTCTGCCTCCCCGCCATTCTTGCCCAGCCAACCACAGATTTGCACCTGCTGTGCTCACAGAGCTGCTTTGTGCAGGCAGGAGCATCTCGGCCGTCCGTCAGCCTACCGCCCCTCCATCCAGGGAGCGAACTCCCACTACTTTCCCTTCTGAGTCACTGATGCAGAAGGAGCACCAGCCCAGTCCCCAGGGACCCCCTGTTTATATTTTCCATCCTGGAAAGGGCCTGGCCATGCCTGCTCTTTGTTTACTGGCTTAACTCCAACCTAATCCACGGCAGAGCCATCCTCCCGGTTCTCATGTGACTCTTTTAAATAGAGTTTGGTCTGGATTCACCTCCAGTGCTTTTTCAAGATCTCCAGAATGGACCTCCACTAATTTCCTATTACCCATAGGTCAATTTCCCCTTCAAAAACAAATTCAATAGGTTGAAACTATGATTCTCTGCCCTGGGAACTATATTGCTTTGTGTTCAAGAGGTTCTGTGTGCTTTGGGTTCACCGAAATTGCTGTTTTCATAGACATTGCCACCTATGGGGCCTTAGGTGAATGGGGCCTTAGTTTGGGGGCCACTCTGGAACCCTTGGCCTGCAGGGGCCCCATTATTGGGCCTCCCTCCCATTCTGCAGGCAATGCTATTTCAAGGCACACAGTAAGTCATTTAGCCGATGGTTCCCTCTGTCCTGGGGATGTTTTTTCGCTCCCTGTTTACCTCTGAGATCTAGAAGCCTCTGAGCTGGGCTTCAGGCTCCTTTCTTTCTGAAGGCAGTTTTAGGAGAGGCATTTCCCTGGCCTCTACCGTGACAAAGGGCCAGGCTTAGCCCATCATCTCTACTCCTTCACCTTTGCCCCCTACCCTATTGGCACTGAGGAGCCACTGGGGCCCAAATGTGTTTACGGAATCCCCTTTTCCTGGCTGCATGAAGCCCCCGGCAGGTGCTCTTCAACTTTTGTTTTCTGTACTGTCTTCCTTGTTTGCACCTGCTCACTTAGACCTCAGTGCCATCCTTCCGGAATCTCTGTACTTTAAGAAAATGCGTGTGTCACCACCTAGCTAGGCCGAGGAGTACTTTTTCATGCAGCATTTGTACGGTTTTCAGCATATCTGTCTGTGTCCATCTTGTCTGTCTCATTTAGTGTAATCCAGGACATCTCAAGTCAAACTGAGCAGGGCTGGTTGGGTGCCTCCTGGCATGGTGAGAAGGGCCCTGTGTCTCACCCAGGGTCTATTCAGATAATTCTCTGCACAGATAATTTAGATGGGTCCCTTCCCCCTTAGAGCCTCACTTTCCTCATCTGCGAAGTGGAGCTATTGACATTTATCTTGCAGGGTTTCTTGAGTCAGATGAGATACGCAGACTGAAGTGCTTTGTAACCTGCCGGAACTTGGAAATGGCTGCAGTATACAGGCTCTGAGGCCCACCTTCCAGTATCCAGAGCAGTATGCGCCCTCTGGGCTGGGTCAGTGCAGGCAGCCTGTGGGCTGGCAGAGAGCACCATCCCTGGGTGCCCCAGAACTCCAAACACCATGGAGCTTCTTGAGGGTGCCGGCAGCCTGCCCAGCCCATGCTGCATCAGCAGAACAGACCTGGCCTGGGCAGGGAGAGGTCCAGGTTAGGTGGAAGGCAGTAGGGTGGGGGCTGGAGCGGGAGGTGTGGACAGGGATGGAGGTAATGTACATCCTCAGGCCTGGTTGGGCACACAGCAGGAGCCTGTAAACGCCTATCAGGTGGAGTGAATCCGTCTAGTCAGGCTCTATCCTGAGTGTGACTTTGGGCTGGTTTCTGCTCTCTTTGGACCTCCATTTCTCTATGTATAGAACCTTCACAAAGGGAATCTTTGTGAATCCATTGGTTTTGCGAAGGCACGGTCACCATCAGGAGGGGTGGAACTCTTTTTTCCATGAGTTTCCATCTGTTCATATTTTCCTTAGGACTTTTGCGACTGTTCAGGAGAGACATCCACCTGCCATCTTACTTGCTTTCTGCATTCTTGATAGGTTTTGGTACCATGATGATGCCAGACTTGTTATATAATTTGATAAGTGTTCCCTGTTTCTAATCCTGGGAGGAGTTTGAGGATGACTTTGGGTGCTTCTTAAATGTTCAGAAGCCTTAGTGAAGTCGTGTGGGTCTAGAGTGTTTTTTACAGAAAGATTCCGTTTCCATCGTAGATACAGGTTGTTCAGATTTTATACTTATGTTTGTAATTTTTTTTTTTTTTTTT